TCCAAGAGATATTGTTGGTCATCTGTTGGCTGCTTGTCAGCTGACTAACTGCCAACTGTTGGGCAACAGTTAGCCATCTGTTGGTTGACTGTCGGCGGTTTCTCAGCCGAATATTGTTGTTACCATGCCCTTAGAGTCTTCAAATATGAGGATTTAACAAAGCAGATAGTTATCAGTCTGGGCAGATATCTCTAGTTTCAGCTCATTATAGGGTTCTCAGATCCCGCTTTCCTGCCCATTTTTTTCCTGTTCATCCTGCCATCCCGCCCTTTTTTGCCTGGAAATCCTGATCCCGCTTACTTTTCAAAGATGTTTCTATCTTAATTTTTAATTTGTTGAATTGATAATCAACACAAACTTTTTAAAAATAAATATCACATAAAAGATCATAAAAGGCTTACCTGTATATATGCAATGGGTAGCAGATAATTAAACACAAATGATTGTAGTTCATATGGTGTGATTGTCCGGGTGAGGGCATTTTTGAAAAGAACTGTTGTTGGTGACTGACATTCAACAACCTGGGTAGAAGTCATTTTCAGAGTCAAGTGAATAGTGTTTGTCAGTCAATGATGTTATAAGTCTGGTCCATTGAAAATAATTGGTCAGTTTAGCCGTGATGATATTGCGGGAAATTAAGGCTCATGTAAAGCCTTTCAGCCAATACTATACAAACTACTGATATACCTGGTTTAAAACCATCTACTATGTTACAAATGATTGTAACATTTCGTTCTGTAAACATTTTACTGTTTTGTTTTCTTTTTTTCACGTACCAGTGAAAGAAAAAGATTGTTCACTCCCTGAAATGTACGTAAGGTTTATAAAGTAAACACACCTTACAGTTTCTTTCAAAGTTTAAGGTGTCTTCACTTTCCTTCTCAAACTGATTAAATTTAACTCATCAAGATAAAACAAAGAAAATCACAACCATGGTGGTTTGGATACCCGGTCTTAATTAGCATAGTTTTGACAAGTTTACTTCTCCATTTACTCCTTAGTTTTTGTTTCAGTTGAGAAGATAATTATCAAACACTCGAGACAGTGTTTCATCTGCTATCCAAACACCTCGAATTTCATCAAAAATACTTCGCTGCGTGTCATATTTTTATTAAGTACATAGTTATATTTGTTTCAGGGCTGCAGCTTGTTCGACACATTACTTCTGGAAAACTTAATGGTGACAAAATTGGTTCCACATCAGTGACCCTCCTTCCTTCAAGTATTGGATCTGGGACATTTTCTGCAGATACTCAAACAGCTGGGTAAGTAGGTGACCTACATGTCAGTTGTATTGGTTTACACACAGGGTTTCAAGACTCACAACAGCTTAATTGCTGGGATTCATTTTGTACATCTGGTTATCCTGTGATTCTAAGCAACTGTCACTTAATTGAGAGTATTTGCAGAAAGCTGGTTAAACATTGTTGTACATAGCTAGTAAGAATTATTACTATTGATCCCAGACATCTGTTGAAATAGCTTTTTTTTTTTCAGGCGGTTGCGAGCACCGTTGGTTTCATTCATTTCATTCACGTGTTTAAAGAAAAATGATCACCTGATGACGAATTCATGATCGAGTGATGAGTGAGTCCCTGCTATCGGGGGAGTTTTTTTGCAAGTTTTTTGAGTTTCGCACTTTCTAGTAAAATGCAATCCGAGATATGTTACAGAGGAGAGTTCAACAGATGTAAAATCCATTGCATGGTGGAGATTTGCCTTGAATTTGGAACTTTTGAGGAATTTGCAACTGCATTCCTGCCAAGAGATGTTTGTCATCACATGATCACTTTTTTGGAATCACATGAATGAAACCAACAGTGCTTGAAAGGGCCTGAAAAAAAGCCATTTCAACAGATGTCTGGACTCAATAGTAGAGACACTTTCCGAGTTATGTACAAATATACAAGAAAAGCATTAAACAGTATTTTTTGTTTTTCTTGAATATGCAGGAGTGTTTGTCTGCTAATGCAGTTGGCTCTACCTTGTTTGTTATATGCACCTGAAGTATCTAAATTGATTCTGAAGGGAGGGACAAATGCAGAAATGGCACCACCAATTGAGTATATGACTGACGTAAGTTATTGTAAGTTTCAATTTTTGACCAAAATATTTTAGGCAAATATACTGCAAT